CCACCAAAAAATAGAAACAGAAGTGACGAAACTCCTGAATAACACGACCTTTGGCGGTATTCTTTGTTCCTCCACGCAGTAAGAGAAATTAAACTGCTCAAAGGGCATCGCCCGCAGCCACGACCTGACTGAAGGGCTGCAGCCTGGAAGAAATTGTGACAAATTGTGAGGGTGTGACCCACGCCCGCCGGATTACTCTTCGGCGGGGTGAGACCACCCTTGAAACGAACACTTGCCCGACTTGGATCCAAGAATGTGCAATTCAAGAGTTATGTTGGGATCAACAACAGAGAACAGATCTTGCAATTTTTTGCATCTAAAATACTTCCACCGGGTGTTTCCAAAGTCTGGATATGTTATATCCACAGGCTTTGGGAAGTCGGTAGTAAAAGTACAGGCCGATCTCGTGACAGGCCGGACTGTCTTTGGGTACATTTTAAAATAATATTAAAACAACGTTATCTACAATAGGCCTTTACAATAAATTGTAGATAACGTTGTTTTAATATCATTTTAAAATGTTATTAACAATTTTGAAGTCTTTTTTTTTTTAACCCCAGATGTTTAACATTTTAATCGAAATATTGACCAGAATCAAGCAGTGCTGTGAACTGTTGTGAATGAAACCAGTAGTTCGTGCGCTCATATCTTATGCAGTTACGAGCGCCGCAAAACTCTTGAACTGGAATAACTTGATGGTGGTCACAATTCACAATTGCTGGCTGTCAAGGTAAACAAAGTGGGAATAGCGAACGGAAGTCACCTCGGGGGCATGACCTGTCTACTTGCTCGTTTCCTCGGATGCCCAGATGAAGATCAGTCTACGGACTGTCCCTTGCCAATACACCTCTTTGGCCCAGGTTTTCCTCTTAGACGTGAGGGTGGCATGGTCCTTGCCACCCAGTCGGTTTGGAGCTGAAACCACTTCAGTTCCTTGGTCAGTCTTGATGGGAGGGTCTCGTACACTCTCGTGGAGAGTGTAGCTCTGGGGTAGCCGTGGCACAGCCCTGGTTATCACTGCGATGTGTTCCCTTGTTGGGCTCGGTAGCGGGCGGGAAGCCCCGGAGTTGTACCAATCATTACACTCTCATGGACAACAAAAAACCTACTGACCCTTCCCCAACTCTCATCGTTGTTAAAAAGTCTTGGCTCACGGAGGCAGGTGCGGCTGCTAAGCCGAGTAAAACAACAACCTCGGCGAAAAGGTTCTTTATGGCTGCCTCTGCCCTCCCTACTCCCAGGGAACTTCCACGGTAGCCGTGCGTGGCCAAATGTCCAGAAGCTGTCCGCTGGTCAAGTGCACAACAGAAACAGAATGGGGGCTCTCGTGGCCTAGAGGTTAAGGTGTTGGCCTCTCATTCAAAAGTCACGGGTTCGAATCCGGGTAGTGACCGTAACATTTGCTTCTCTAAATTGGTCTCCTTTCACCCCCTTTCCTGCCCTCTAGCAGTGTTCTGTCGTCTGCTTTCGTCTCCTCTTTCTGTCCCCCTCCTCTGGATTCTGATTCTTTCTACAGCGTTTCTACTGCTACTCCTTTGCTTCTTCTTATTCTGTCTTTCAGCCACACCCCTTATCTCGGACAAGGGCGAAAAATCTCGGAGGGCCCGTGTGCAAGTTGCGGGCGTTAAAGTTCCCTTGGTTGTCTAAAATCGATAAGAGTAGGCTTCGGCCGCCACCCGGGCAAAATGCTAAATTTTGTACCTACTGAAAAAGTTTAATGTGTCCCACGCGCTCATATGACCTTATGCAGGTGCGAGCGAGCGCCGTAAAACA